GTTAACTTTGAAATTTCTTCCGCCAGTTTGAAATATACTAAATAGTTCGAAAATGGAACATAGCTGACTCGCAAATATTTTCGTATTGACAGATAATTCGCGATAATGCGACCGTATAATATATCATTTCATTTCCTAAAACGTGTTCCTATTTACTTGCAATGTTGTGGATAAATGCATCGCGTAGTTTGCATACAATATGAATATTCTAGCACCTTTTGATTCTGTAAAATTCGATCTTATTTATTTACGTAAAAAAAAAAATTGAAAAACGTGAAGAGAGACATCGGAATTCAAAAGATATTGCAGATAATTCGCGTTCGTCGCTCGCAATCACTCGTGTAAGCCTACATAATAATCGTTACGCGACGCTACGTGCTTGTTAACACCTTTAACACGTTAACGTCTTTAACTCAACGATTGTTGGACATGCTCGCGAAACTCTGAAAGAGATACGATCCTGCTTACCGGTATTTACGGAATGTACGTTGAACTGAGGCACATGGTGGGAAACAGGCGGACAGTGTCGACCTGTCGACCGGTATTCGAGTAAAGCAGGAAGCCGCTGTTGCACAGCGAAAGAAACCATGCGCACAACATCGCGTCATTTGGATTATTATACAATATATTTCGATATACGAATATACATTTTCCAGTCGAAAATTTCGAGTCATTGAATTTTTCGTAATCATAAGAATTGTATAATAAGGTGGTCCTTCTTTACTCTTGAAACAATTTTTTTTCGAATTCTTTCCGCGACACCCCTCAAATGGTTCCAATTCACACAAAAATAACTCCTATCAAATTTCAGCTCGATGGGACAACGGGAACTCCGACAGCTCGTTAAACATTTGAGTTCTCTCATATTACACTCTTAATGATTGATTTTTAAGCGTATTTACACAAAAATCTAAAGGACTTTTCTTTTTTTTTAATATGTTTTTAATGTGTTTTTAATGTGTTTTGCTTTTCTACATCGTTTGAAATCTTATACGTCTCATTTAAACAATTAGGAGTATTGTTAAAGATTAAAAAATAAAAGTAAATAATTAGTGTAATACGCCGACGGATCTTTCTTTTTTGACATTTGATTATTTTTCTTCTATTATCATCTAAAATTGTGTTCCAATATATATGTATATATAGATAAATAATAAAATACATATAAAGAAAAGGCTCAGTAAATATGAACAAATGAATTATAAATGAAGGGGTTACAAGCTAATATATGAGAGAAATATATGAGATAAATAATACTTGTAAAATTTTAGATTACAAGAATTGTGCTGATTAATGAATGAAAGTCTGTCTGAAAAAATGTACTTTTTTAAAATTCTTTTATTGATTTTTTTATAATTTATATATTATAAAATACAACGATAATATAAAAATATGTTAACTTAGCTGTAAAATTAATTTTTTTCTAACAACTGCAATGATTTTAAAAAGAGTTTCTTTTTTAGCATCTGGAAACTGATGGTTTGTGATAGTCGCTAACAACTTTTAATAAAAATTATTTTTGTTCCTCATCTTTTGTTATTTTGTAATATAATCGGTAATTGGGTTTATTCCCCATTCTACTGTGTCATTAACAACTTTTAAGTTCTTAACAATATGGAATTTTTTTTAAATGATCGTTTGTAGCTCAGGTTACAGGATCAAATTTTTTGTAAAAAATCGGAATTTATATTAAGAACAAAAATAGCCTTAGAACAAAAATGTTTTTGTATTACAAGAAACAAATTTAGTAATGTATTGATTAGGGGAGACTGGGGTCAGTTGATTATAGAAGTAAGTAGAATAATCGAGGCTACATTAAAAACAAAACACGCGAGACACACGTAAACGTGTCTGAGCACGTAGCAGCGATTGCCGCTAAGTCTGTAACATCTTGTTGCGAACATATCTATGATAGAAGTTGTCACAATTTTAAAAAATCGTATACCTAAGTAAATATTTTTATTCTTAAAGTTTTTGTTTTACAATCGTATATGATTGTCTAAGATATTTGATTTCTACTTGGATAGTAAGTTAAGTTCTTACTTGATAAAGTTCAACAGATTTTTTTTGTTTATGTGTTTTTTGTTATCGTGTGTTATTGTTAATGTTTTTAAAAAATAAATGGATGGGGATAGTAAACTAACTATAACTGTAGTTAACAGCTGTATAACTTATTTAGTGACGACTCTTATAGTACTTACTCAAAATTTTATTCCTTTAAAGAGATTTTCCTCAGTGGTAAATGTTATAAGTTTAATTCCCTCATGTTCAATCTCGAAAACTCATTCAACGTGTTTTTGCACGAAATGAGCAAATTTTGCAAAAAGAAGCATTGTTTTTTCCTGCGAAGCGAATGTTTGCGTTGCTAAGTATTTAAAATATATTTTTATAAAAGTTTTATTAATATGTAGCCAAAGATGTAGCTTAAAATACATTAATCTTTATTTTAATAATCTTAGTCGAATTACCCGGTCCCAGCTAATTGAATCAGATGAAATGCATTAGAAAAATGCATTTTTTTCATATTAATTTGTCCTTATTATTAAAATATTATTAGATAGTCAAATGTATGTAGTAACTGGAATGTAGAATTCATTTTTTCGATAAGTCTCTTAATTTCATCTGTAAAAATTCGAAATTGGAAAATGAGTCTATTAGCCCCGACCTTCCCTACTGAAGGCCGTCCCTTAATTACTGAAGGAACTCCAATTTTTTACAAACTGGTCCTTCAACCTGATCTACAAACGAACATTTTAAAGGATTCCATATTATTAAGAATTTAAAAGTTGTTAATGACACAGCAGAACGGAGAATAAAGCTAATTACCGATTACAGCAATATTATAACAAAGGATGAGGAACAAAAACAATTTTTATTAAAAATTGTAAGCGACTGTCGCAAATAGTTTCCAGATGCTAAAAAAGAAACTCTTTTTAAAATCATTGCAGTCGATAGAAAAAAAGTAATTTTACAGCTAAGTTAACGTATTTTTATATTATATATGTAGTTGTATTTTATAATATAATATATAAATTATTTTAAAAAATCAATAAAGGAATTTTTATTGGGAGTACAAATTAGTTCGGTCCGTTTTCCAAAAGATGGCTCCGACTGTTGTGAATGGTTCATAGTGACAGCTAATTTTGGCGTTTTCAGAGAGGTTAGACATCTGCTAATAATATTCAGTTTATATCGCTTTGAGTTTCATACAAAAACCTTGATTTTTACTGTGTTTGAAATGTCAAATTTTGTGTTAACCAAGCAGCATTTGCGGGAGGTTCTAATTTTCTG